GTTTTAATACGATGCACTGACTTGAATCTTTGGTTAAAATGTGGCAAAAATCTTTTATTAAATTCCGAAACTATTTTAAAAATTTGATCATCCTGTAATGAGTATTTTTCATGTAAAAACTGTTCTAATGAACTATTACGGTCGAAAAGAACTTCGCACAAAATTTTATAAGGAACTACGAAATCGCTCATGATTGCAAAATAGTATATTGTGCACCAAGGCGAAAGTAGCGTTTTTCAGACGAGTGTGAAGTTTGCCGCCCGAGCCGAAGGCGAGTAGTACCAACTTTCCTCCCTGTATAGCGGGCGGAAAGTAACCACTTTCCTCCCTAGCTCCCTAGAGAAGAAAGTGGTTACTTTTCGCCCGAGAGAGAGAGAGAGAGAGAGAGAGAGAGAGAGCGAGAAAGACACGTGACAATGCAAGCGTGCGCATGATATGATAGCGGCCGCGCTTTCTGACATCACTGACGCGCGACTGCAGTCAAATAATAATTAAGTACAGCTAAAGTTGCAAGAAGTAGCACGTAATTTTTATAGGACAGTTTAGTAATAGCATCTGCTGTCAAAAAATACAATCAAGAGCTTGGAGGAAAGTGGAGCATTTTTTATAGACATAATGAAATAAATAAAAACTTAAAATTTTAGATATCATTATGTAATAGGATTTACGTTAACAATTTTAGAAAAGTAATTATGTCACATATAAAGTAAGAATGTACACATTTGAAATACATGAGATATATTTCGGTTAAACAGACATTAGACAATAGTTAGAGTATAAAAATCTATCTAAGAATTGAGGTTTTTTCCTGAAATCAAATAAATAAAATATACATTTTTATAATAAGATACTACTATATTTATTAGATATCCCAAAATAGTAGTCAATAAATAAAAACATTATTTTCAAAATTTTGGGTTTTTTCCACTTCCGCACCACTGTGGGCCGCTGCCAGCGCCTCCGCCACTTCCTGGACGGTAGCGGCGTCATCCAGCCCCCCAATGCGCACATCTACGCACTTAAAGGGCCGGGTGACCCGCACCTCGCCCTCAAAGAATTCCTGCCGCAACCTACCGGCCAAGAGATCTGCCTTCTCATTTGAGTCGGCCCCGGGGACCTCAAACAAGAGGCTCCCGGTGGCCGCTCTTCTCACCTTGAGATCCTTTATCCCCAGATCCGCGAGGGATATCTTTTCCTTCGCGGATCTCAACACTCTCGCATACTTCTCTGTTTTGCTTTCATTTAAAATCGTTATTCCGACTGCCGTAGTCTTTGGGGCAGCCGGAAAACGATTCTCCTTACCACCTATTCTAGATCCCCTAACCCCACTCTTACCAGGAGGGGGAGGACCCTAGTTCTCACTCCTCTTTTAACCTCCTTCCCTTCTCCAGACCCCGCCACTCCGGCGTAAGTCCGAACTGAAAAGACTGGACCACCCTTTTTATTGAACGAGGAAGAGGGTGCAGTCGCCTGACTAACACCTCCCATCCCCCCGTCTATTGTACCGCCACTGCTAGTCACTTCCCTGGGCCTCCCACCCGGGGTAACTGGTTTCGCCTTTGTGGATTCTCTAAGGGAACGAATATCCTTAGCGATGGTCTCGAGCTTGCGGTCGAGAGCCACCATCTTTTCCTCCATTGGATCGTTGTTAGATCCATCAGCAGACTTCGTTGCTTTCCCTGGGCAGGGTGCTTCGGTTTGGCAACCAATGTCGCGTCTCTCCACGATTTCACCTATCTCCATGACCGTCGACTGGTTACACGAAGAGTTCGGACAACCAGCCGACAATTTCTCCTCCAACACTTCAACTCGAGTCCTCAGCTCGGTCACCTCCTTCGCTAACTCCTCTTTCCTCCTCCTCTCCTCCTTAGCCCATCTGGCCGCCTTCTTCTCCCTACTATGAAGAGTGTGCACAACCTCATCGACAACGTTGGCGTAAATTTCCGCCTCTGTGTCGATGGTGCCATCATCATATGGGGCGGCCAAACGACTGTATAAGAAGAGCTTGACTCTATCCAACAGCAAGTCCGCACCCAACTCCACAATCCTCTTGTTGAGCAGACCCGGATGTTCTACCAATTCCTTGGCGGAGATCCCTGGTGGTATTGCTTTCCCGGAAGTGCCCTTCGTCACCTTACACCCTTGTGACAGCGTCAGTGAATCCTGCAAACCCACTTCTCTAGTATCCTCGAGTGTTTGAGATACCTCCATTCTTTGACGCATATCGTCAGTTTTTGTCCTCTTATTTATTGCGGCTCCTTCCGCACTCTCATCGCCCTTGCTACTTTCAAAAGGGTCTAAGGACTTATCCCCCTTCCGCCTTACTTTCCCTTTACCCCCCTTGTTATTCCCCAAAAAATTATTCATAGAATAATACCTCCCCATGACCTTCTTCGGCTCTGCTGGTCAGGGCATGCCCTCACCAACCGCTCCTTACAAAACTAGGCCCCAAGTTCCCCCGGGGGACCAGCTATGCCATCGCCCGGGAATCGTCATCCGGATCTGGCCCCTGTGTATGCCCCCTACTCATCCCACGGGCGAGGCCCATCGAGGGGCCGTCGCACCGTGGTCTTTCGGGAGTTCCCTACCTCCGACAATGGAGGCACCAAGGAGGGCGCCGCCACGCAGGGAGAAGGTCACCCCGACGTTCCGGACGAAGGAGACTGCGACCCCTCCAACGCCCTTCCCACCGGGGTGACCAGCCTGAAGTCCGCAGCCCGCCAGTCGACTTTGGATAGGGAGATTTCTCACCATACCTTTCCCGCGTGCTAAGCAGAAAGCCAGAGCTCCGGCCGAGTAAACTCGATTCCGGTCCCGATCCCGGTCTCCGGCCCCTCGCCGCCCGTGAGAAAACAGGGCACAGGGTTCCCCCCAGTGGACGCAGTCGCCGACCAGCGGGCTACTTACGCGCCACCGGCCCTAGTTGCCGGTGGCAAATGCACCGTCGGCCCTAACCTGGAAACGTCCAGGCGGCCCAACGGTGCTCTCCCACTGTGGGGCTGCTCGGCCCAGACCTCGGATCATTTCCAAGCGGCCTGGACAGCCCCGGTGGGCCCGCAATCCCGGGATCTGCCGGAGCACCAGCGTGTAATGATCCCAGGACTGTCCTCCATCCTGCCGGAGCACCGGCGTGCAATGGATGGAGGAAAGCCAACGTCCCGTTGGCCGATGGGAGAATCACACTCTCCCTAACGGTCCTGGCCGACCGAGCGATTAAAGTCAGGGCCGCCAACCCCTACTGACTGTTGGAGGCTGGTTCGCCGAAGCTAGCCAGTCTCCTAAGCAGGGCAACCGGTCCCCCGGTTTGTATTCTGGGTTTTCCTTCCCATAGGACGGACGGGTAACGGAGCCAGGCGAAGCTGGCTCGTCCCTTATGGTCCCGTCCGACTGGGCGAACTTTTTATAGAGGCCGCCTACCTCGCGAGTCCCCGGAGGGACTCCCCGGTTTCTGCCAGTGCGAAGACCGATGGAGATTACGGTACTGGTGTGCTCGGGTACCTCGGGTTCGCAAAACCCGTAGTTGGGAAGGCCCCCAGTGACTCCTAAGAGTCCCCGGTGGCCTCCCCCATCCCCTGAGGGGTGAAAAACCGAGCCTTATGTCTTCCTCCGCGCCTACTCCGAACCCTGACCAGCTGCAAGCAAATTCGCGCGTCGGAAGTTAGGTTGTTTTAACTTATTAAATTTCTTTATTCGTTTTTAGCTTAGGCATATACCAGAATTTGTTACAATTTTTTTCTATTGCTATTTTTTACTATATTATAGATATTATAAATATATGTAATGTAAATTACAATATTGTATTTAATACGTACATGTTACATTTTATGAATTATTATGATTACTCAAAATTGTCATAACAGAACATTGTTTTATATTGCAAATATGTATTAACCTATTATTCTAAATAAATGTATTTGTTTAGGTATTATCTAATGAAGATCTATGGAAAATGTTACAAATGGAAAACTACAAATGGAAAACGGAATATAGCAAAATATTGTCCAACTACAATTTGTCAAAATATTATCAACATGGAGAAATATTATGGAAATTACATGATAAATCTGTTGAAGCAATAGGTAAAATAAGATAATAAAAATAATAGGTTGCAGTTAATAAAAAATAAACACTTATATTTTTCTTTATTTAAATAATTTTCAAAATACCACGAATAAAAATATTTGATTAGTTACTTCATATTCTAATCAATGTATATAAACAAAGGAATTACGATTCAAGTAGTACGTATCTTCACATTCCTATTCAAAAGTCTCCTTTTAATATAACGAGATACATATTGCAACTATTCGGAACCGATTTGATTCTCTTTGAAATATGTTGCAAAATACAAAAATATCTAAGAGACACCGTATATTCTAAGCAATTATTGTCAAAATAATAAGATATATAAAAAAAATTAATTGCGAGACTGAGAAGCCAAATTCAAACAATTAAAGGATATTATAATTTATAAAAATATTTAATAATTTATTATCTAAAGATCAATAACACATGTGGACGTTTCGACCTTACTTGGTCTTCTTTAGCATAAATTAAGAATAAATAATAATAATGAATTCAACGATTATGCGAATTCTAAAAGTAATATATGTATTATAAAATAGAAAGAAGTATAGTATATAGATTATAGATCCCAAGAAAAAATATCTCTTATAATATCTTATATGCTCGTATAAGAAGCAATTTTATATGCTCATATGTGAATTTTGGCCTAATAAGAGCTTATATGATTATATAAGATTATATATAAAAATATACATATTTAAATAAGTTTCAGAAAATTGTTATTTTTAAATGTTATTTTTTAAGTATGTCTTTATTATAAGAGTGAACTCCATGATACAACTGATACAAAAATTGTGCCGCTCCATAGCGCGAGAGAGTGTCGTGTCTCTTAATACTATTCTTATAACACTGTTTGTCAATCAAGAGACACGGTAGTGTCTCGCGCCAAGTACACGCGAAGCGAGACCGCACCGTGACTCTTTTACGCGAACGCACGAGTTGCGAGTACCCGAGATTTTGAGATCTCAATAACGAGTAAACGGATCAAGTTTTAAGTAGGCTTGATCGATAGCTTGGGGTCGATTTATATAATAAAAGTGTTTTTAGTTTTTTTCTACGTGCCCTACGAGCGGAGATATTACGACACAAAGTCTGAAATGTTAAATTTTACAATTAAGATACGTCGTTATCGTCGTCATCGCCGTACGGTTGCTTTTGCATCAATAGATGGCGTTTTTGAGATACCACGAGTGTTTGAAAAGAGACAGCATATACATACGTGTGCGTCGTGTGCGCTCAGTGTAGACAGTGCGTTTAGCGCGTTCAGCGCGCTGTCAGTCAGCTACTTATAACCTATAAATATGTATCGTGCAACACCGTGATCTCTCATTATTAAATACGATTGTTTAATTCCGAATTTCGGTCGCGTCACGCAAGGATAGAAGTGTCACGAAATTAAGATGGGTGTCACAAGAGACAAAATATTAGCGGGTCGGATTTATCAGTGTAGTGACAGTCGTGACCGTCGTGACAGATAGTGACATAGTGATTTTGACCGCAGGGAGCTGATACCGAAATCTTTAAGAAGGAAGGTGTATCCAAAATTGCATACGTATGTATATGCTGTTTTGTGAAAATTAACGAAAACAAGAAAGTTATTTGTATCTATATGCACGTGTTTATATGCACGTGTGACAAGCACTATCGCGTAAAAAAGATTTTTCTAAAGTATGTTCATTATTTTTTAGTATTACATTTTGTGTAGTAAAAAAGATTCTGAGAAGGAAAATTGTCGCTCATGTCCTGTTTGTTTCTAATTAATACAAACTATCGCGATGTCAGAGGTCTGTGAAGTTAGCACTCTAAACATATTTGTTTGTCCACTCTTTAAAAAAAAAGTTATAACAAAATAAAAAAATTTGACATCAGCACCCTCATGAACATTTTTCATTAATTTTCAAACGGGATACAATTGTCCGCGATTTGCCCACGTTTGTCCACCCAACATTTTTGTTTGTCCACTCTGCAAAAGAGAGTTATAATATAAATAATTAAAAAAAAAAAGCAATTGTCTTTATAAACAACCTTGACTGCAAATTACGTACTGGAATCGTTTGTCTAATTATGATTTTTGTTTGTCCATTGCTTATTTTCGTTTGTTGATAAAAATAAGAACTATATTAAATTGTAGATGTTATGCATATACACCCACACACACACACACACACACACACACACACACACACACACACACAC